TTCCGACAGCCATGTTGTCCCATCTTCGCTTCCACCGACGCGGCCCCTCGAACCCCTCGTCTCCCAACCCTGACCAGGCGGCGGCCCCTTCTCCCTGGGAGCACTCCCCCTCCAACGCGCAACCTCCCTTCCTACAGCAAGATGTGCCCTCAAATGACGCCCGCTCCCCGTCTGTCGCCGTCTCGTCGCCTGTTCTGCCCCCCACACTGCCCCCCATCACCCGCGTCACCTCGTCCGAAGCCGAATCCCAGCTCGACTACATTCCAGCCCCCGATCCAAAGGCGTCCCTGTCCCGCCAATCGGTCAAGTCCCCCTTCAATGACGAGTCTGGCTTTATGGGCGGCGTAGCGTTGCAAAAATATCGCCGCGAACAACAGCAGCAGCTGCTGCAGGAACAACAACACCAACACCAACACCAGCAACAGCAGCAACAATCACTACAACCGCAGACCACGAGGAAGCCAGACGCCCTCAACGTGTACACGCACACACTCGCGCCGACATCACCAAGTGCTGTACCTGTCCCTCCCGGAACCGCACAAGAATCTCGCCCAGGACTCCCGGCGTTACAGACACAACCCCAGAATCAAGCCATCTCCGGTCGACGCCCGCCCGCCGCAAGGCTCGCCACCGAGCCGAGCCCCGTGGCTGCCCCCAACAACGATATCGAGGTATCCAAGGGCAGGAGAGCCTTGCCGTTCCTCAAAAACCCCATGTCGACCCTATTGATGCGTCGGAGCAGACGAACCACAACGCGCCCGAGTCACGCCTCTTCCTTTGAACGAGAACTTCCGTCAGCCTTCCTATGACCCCCGCATCAGAGGTACGCGTGTTCACGACTTCAGCGCGCCCCGCTCGACGCGCAGACCCGTGCCTTCGCCCTTGCCCGATCAGATCGATGGAGAGGACCAGGCAGGTCTCTTCAAAACGTCCTCGAGAGACGGCTCGCGTGACCTCTCGACCCAGGGCAGGCACAAAAGTAATGCTTCCGACTCTGGCCAGTCCGGGTCGTTTGGAACCGCTTCACAACTGCTTCCCGACGCCGGCAGCATCGCCTCGAATAAAACGAGGAGCAGCTCAAACCTCGACAGGAAGCCCCTGCCCGAGCCACCAAGCGTGCCAGAGGAGAACATTCCTCCCTCTGTTCGCTCCACCTCATCAGCTTCCAGAGTAACCCCGAACGAGGCTGTGGCCGTACTGAGAGCTTCAGCTCCGTCCACGAGAACCAATCGATCCCGCAATGCATCCATTGGTGCACTTTCTGGCAAAGATGTTCTATCTTCTGTGCCTCGCCATATGAAGAGCACATCCTCCAGGTTCAGCTTTGATATGGTTGGTGCAGCCAAACAGGAAAAGCTGCTGGAGGAGAGGCATCGACAGCGCGAATTGGAAAAGAAGACGAACGAGCCCGAGTCTGATACGATCCGCGACTCGAGATTTGATGACTTCGACGAGGATGGCTTCGACTATGATGCCATGATGGAAGACGATGGTCTTGAGGAGCCGATCCCAATGGCTGACGATGACTATGGCTATGATGACGGGTTCGAAGAACCCATCCCCATGTCTCACGACGATTACGATGATGGCTTCGAAGAGCGCATTCCCATCAAGTCGGACGAATACGATATCGAAGAAGAGCCTGTTCCCATGACCGACGATGACTACGACGAGGATGAGGAGCCCTTTCCCTACGAGAACCTCCTCAGCAGCAAGCTACCAGCAGAGGCACTGCCTGTCGCCGAGGCCGATACCGCAAAGGACCCTGACGATGACCAAGAGAATTTCGCCGGCTTTGTTTTCCAACGCTCCAATCCGACTTCCGAGCTTGCCACCCCTCGAAGCGCGGGGTTACTCGTGACCCCGCGAGATGCAGATGGCAAGGTCATTGGTTTCGCCATGTCGAGTACGCCCGGGCTGCCAGCCACCGTATCCCCAGAACTTCCCGCTGAATCGTCTCTGCCATTGGATGGCGACCACGATGTGGCCGGCCTTGGAATCCGAGGTCTCAATCTGGCCGACCACACCGACTCCTTGGCAGTGGAGCAGACCACGTTTTTGGAGGCACACTGCGACAGCCGATGATCCAACACTGGCAGGTCCACCAGCAAGAAAGGATGATCTGTACTTCGATGTGGGCTGCTGGATGAGATGGAATTTGCGGGCGAAGGCGATGGCTCGACGTTTGATGAATCCATCTTTGATATGATCGACACGGATAAGTACGGACGTCCGATCCCAGGCGCATTTGCCGCCGCTCAGGGGTCCCGACAGGCCTCACACGCGGCAGTCGAGGCAGCGGCGGCGGAGGAGCAGAGCAAACGCGTCTCGGACAGCACCTCCCGACTCTCGGCACTTTCCGAAGCGGACCCGTCCACGGCGCATACGTCTCTGAGCGTCGGCGTGCGGCACTTGTCTGGTGCCAGCCACGAGGGCGAGGGGCTGCCGTCCGACAGAGCCTCGGCACGGACGATCCCTGGCCCCGAGCAAGACAAGATGGCCGTCTACCAAGCAGCTCTGGCCGCTGCGGCAAATGAAGCGGCGGCGAACGGCAAGTTCCGGAGGGACTCATCCCCTCCGCCAAGCGAGATCATGTCGGCCGGTCCAGAGCTCTCCCAAGATTTCACGGACGACTCTCACCTGGACACAGTCTCGTTCGACGATTACGAAGACGATTATGCACAGGACATGGACGGGTATGATTTTGACGACGACGCTATCATTGCCGAGGCCAACGCAGATGCACTCGCCAATGACGGCGACGGCTGGTACGGATCCGAGTTTGGCTTTTACTCTGCCCCAGGCCCCCAACGTCACAGCCGGGATAATTCCGACGAAAAGACGTTTGAATACTCCAACGGGGGCTTCTTTGGACCCTCAGGCGTCAACAGGTCCAAGTCGGGACGTGTTGTGTCCCGCGAGCCCAATCTGACACCGATTACGGAACGTTCAGAGTACTCTAACCGCAACTCGATCATGAGCCTTGCCGTGCCGCCCCTGGGCTCCGGCCCATCCAGTCTTGCGAGTCCTGGCCTGGCTCAACTAGCCATGATGGCCGACGGCGACGACAACATGAACCTGTCGGCGCTGTTGCGACTGCGATCCAGGGCGTGGGGTGGGTCGCAGATCAGTCTCAACTCGAGCCGCGAGGGATCACCAATGTCGGAGCGCGGAGACGGTGCGAGCTCGCCGTGGGGCTCGATGCCGCCAAATAGCTTTCTCAGCCATTACGGACACGGGCGCAAGAACTCATCCTTCTCCGTGCGCAGTCGCGACGTGGACTCGTCCGAAGCCGGCAGTGCGTCTGGCTCGCCCACACTGACCATGTCGATCCCCATGATGAGCTCGCCGCCCCCGCCGCTTCCGTCCATGATCCCCACGAGCCCGCTCAGCTTCTCGGCGTCGAATAATGCGCCATCGTACCTGTCGTTCCACGAGCCAGTGCTGCCGTCCATTGAACAGGATGGCGAGTCCTCTACGTACAGCAACACGGCGAGTCCTGAGTTCCAGAGCCCCGACTTGTCGCACCCGAATCTCTCTTCGCCGCCGTCGAATGCGTCATCATCGCGTAGACCAGGACTGGGCCACAAGCACAAGAGCTCGGCCGACAGCATCTCCTATATCAAAGAGGAGGATCGAGGCGAGTCGCGGTGGATCTTGGAGAGGCGCTACACGGCCGAAACTGGGCAGGTCGAGGTGGAACGCGAAGTCCTCGAGAAGGGGCGTATCTGAGAAGAGAGACGTGGGCTGCCTCGGCGTACCGGAGAGTCCATTCATTAGGGTATTCTTGGCCTGGCGAAGCCCATGAGCCGGCTCGTGGAAGCTGTCGCAGTAGTGGGATTGGGAAGGAGTTTTGCCTTTGGAAAATTTGGAAGAAAAAAGCTGACGAGGCTTGATGCACAGCATGGCGTGGCGAGCGTGCGAATACCCCGTGAACCTCTCAGCAGCACTTGGAGTTTGGACAACATGGATCAATTGGCTACATATACATACATATACACCGTTGGGGAGGGGCTAACGAACCAGCATAGACTTGGGGCGCAAGCAATGGAAATGCACGATTCGAGTGCTGCACACGATCAGTCATCTTTCTGGAATCCCACTGCCATGTACGTGCTGAAAGAGGCGAACCGACAACAGGACACGATGGACATTCATTTGTCGATGACGGGGCAGCGCATGAAGTGGCCATCGGGTCCCCGGCGCAGTCACGCGGACGCGTCTCGAGGTTCGGTCGTCTCGGAAATCTGCCAAGGGCGCTGCCAAACTGGGCAAATTCGGTAGTTGAGCCTCCGAAAGCCCACTTCACGACGACCCCCCGCGACGACCCCCGGACCTGGCTCGAAGCGGTGCGCAACCACAGATCCGCGGCTCGGATGGTTACGCCGCTGCTGCCGACACGCGAGCTTTGGGTCGACCCCTCGGTCGGGGTCTGGCGTTTTTTTTGGAGAACTGGAGAAACGTGTCATGACCTAGCTGTTTGTGTTCCTACAAGAAGCGCGCGCCGGAGCTCGCGATGGCTGTGGTGATCTGTCCCCCCTCCCCCCTCGCCTCTCCCTTCGCTCTCTGTTCTGCTATTCACTCTGTCCAAGACGGTTCCAGCACTGCCAGACGAAGCTTGTGACCAATTGACCTCTCGCCTGCTCCCGAACGAGAGACTGAGACCACCTCTCGCCATGTCGCCCGCCATGACGAAAAAAGCCCAGGCCGTCCTGGCCCTCCTCGCCGCCTCAGCCGTCGGCGTTGACGCCCACACCCACGCCAACACAACCGTCACGGACAGCCTACCTCGTCGCTGCGATGCCAACCCTGCGGGGCCCTCGTCCCGAACCCCCGCGACTGGACCTGCCGCGCGCGGATCGACACTCTG